TCAAGATGACTCCAAGGCACTTACTGAGTTTTTAGATAATCTTATGACTTATAAGAATACCTTGATTTCGATGAATTGCATGAGTGACCTCAACTCGAGTTTTATACTAGCAGTAATAGCAAGACGTCTACCTACTCGACTGCAAAGGAAGTGGGTGAAGATAAGCTCCCGTATGGAGGATGAGGGTATCGAGCCAAGGTTTGATGATATCCTGAAACTGGTAAAAGATAGTGTCAATCAATCTATGAGCAAGTTTGCCAGTCTATTACATCTCACCCCTAGAATAGAGCAGTCTGAGAGCAAAACGCAATCATTGATGACGAGTAGGCCTCAGAGAGGTGGATATCAAGAAGGCTCCATGATGTCTAGTAATGCATATAGACCTAGTGAGTGTAACAGGTTTCGTAGTATATCGTCAACAGATAAGTTGCAAGATGTAAGACAAACACGGTTGTGTTTTACACGTTTGCAAGAGGTGCATACAGAGGTGAACTGTGAACCAGTGAGCAAGTTCAGTGATAAGCTAAATGTAAACTCCAGGCCTGACTCCAAATTATGTGACGATAACGGTGCGGTGAAGAAGTCTGTAGTTGCAACTGGTAAGCCATTGTTGAATAGAGTGTCACAGAATAGAGTTGCTGCTTCAGAGTGCAGTTCTAACTCCACAAGTTTACAAGGTATTACTAGTCAGAGTGAAGGTATAAAACCTTTTATGATTTGCGAGGAGGAACCAAAATTGTCTACTTCTGTTATTAAAGAGTTTGAAAATGATGAAGTTGACGGTGAATTGAATATTTGTGATAATGATCATGATAGTGTAGATTTGTCTCTGGTTGATCATGATGAGATGAGGGAAATGCCTACCACTGCTGAGTTGAACAAAAGTTCTGTAGAACTTGAACGTGAAGTAGAAATAAATGCAGATGCAGTTGCAGAAGGCATGCATACTTGTCAGACCGTCAGTGTGAGTGATCAGCATGTAGCCCACCTATCATCAGATGCTAGTGTTAAACCTGAGCTGATAGTAAAAGACAGCAGTGGTGGTGGTCCTGCAGGTAGACAACTTTCTGAAAGTCGAGCAACAACAGCTTTTGATCCACCGCTAACTTCATCAACTGGTATCAATCGGTCATAGTTGGTGTTGTCATCCACAATGAAACAGTCGCCCATCAACTCAAGTAACTTCTGCAATGACTATGATAGTATTGGTGCATTTGAAAAGACGAAAGATATTGTTTAGTTTAGAGAGGATAAGCCAAGTGTAAACGAGAGAGTAATTGTTAAATTGACTTGCATGAATAAAGGCATTTCTAGTTTCAAGTTACTATTTGAATGCTATTATCTTTGGTGTAAATTACTCTGTTTCTACGCTTGGTTGACCAGATACTTCGTGTGTTTGTTGGTCATCTATGCTCTACGATACAATGACATGAGCGTGTTGCCGTTCAGATTTGAGGATATAGCTGATAGAAGGAAATCAGCAAATGAACTCTGCGACGATTTTCCAACCTAGAGCGTCAACCTGAGAAGGGTTGTAGGCGTACTGCTGTAAGTCCTACAATTCTTCAAAGGGTAGCGCATCAATGAGCAGTCCAATGTGCTTGGTGTGTGATTTTGTACATATGTTCATATTGTATATACTGAATTGATATCATCTGTCATCTAGCTGTTGGTAATTCTGTTTGTGTCCGGACGACTTCCACTTGTATCATCAACCTGAGAAGGAATGTAGGCGTACTGCTGTAAGTCCTACAGTTCTTCAAGGGTAGTTTGTCGTGCCAGAATCCACAACATTTGATGTAGTGATTGTACATATGTTTGTGTTAAATAGTTGTGTGAGTTCCAATCGATGTAATTGTTGGTTAATCTTGTGTGTGTCCGGACATTCCACAAATTACAATCGTCAACCTGTGAAGGGTTGTAGGCGTACTGGTGTAAGTCCTGCGATTCTTCAAAGGAATTCCACCAAGAGATGATCGGCGAGGTTGTTTGTACTATTTGTATATACGTGTGGTGTGTCATAGCAATTGGTGTATTTTGGATTCATTGTGTTTACTTGTTGTTTTCGTGTCTTGTTGTTATTGCGTAATTTTGTTAAAATTTTCGTCGTGATTTCTTCTGAAGTTGTGTCCACTCTTCTACATCCATGAATGAATTGATTGATGTTAAGGACAGCAGATGGGTCGTATACGCCGGGGAGGCTAGGCTAGTGCTGAGAATGAAATGCACACGGAGATAATTGTTAGCTGCGGTCCGACACGCCGGGGAGAAAGAGTGTAAACGACTGAGGCTCGCATACATCACCGTTACTAGAACTGAGGCAGAATGAGTGACAAGCGATTGCAGTGGTAATTGGTAATGAGTAGATAAGAGGATGTGCGTAGAGTATCATGAGGTGCTGCTATGGTCACGTTGCATTCTGCAAGAGTCATTCTAGCAAGTGGCGATTGTGTTGCAAGAGGATTCCTTTAACTGGAAGGCGCAGGTCGTCATTCATGTGTGAGACTGTGCTGTGAGTATGCTTGTGGTGTGTTGGCTTTTCTGTTTGTTTTCCATTTCAGCTCTGTCTGTGTGACCCAGGTTCTCGCAATGGCATCCAAGTCAACGTGTATTGATCGTGATGGATAAAGGGAATAGATCCTTTTTGGCCGGGGAGTGTCAATGTAGTTGAAGATTGAACGATCAATTCATGGTTGTTTGCTCAAAACCAACTTCACCAATTTTCGCGGAGGCATCAATACGACAGTCATCGTCTCATCGGTCGCTGTTCAGAAAGAAGTCAGGAGACAACCATCAGAAGTAACATTGTGATTTATTATTGTAATATTTGTTCACAGACCTTGGTAGAATTATTTTTTATATGTTGGTGTTACAATAAAGAATTATCGAGTCGTCAAAATGAGTTTTGGTTTTTGCGTCCGTTATTACTAAGCGTTTCTGAGAAACTTCAAGGAACAGCGTGAGCCCGAGCGTAGCGAGAGCTGGGCATTAACGGTTTACGAGACGTGGCTGACACCAGGTCTTCTAGGTTATTCACGTCTGTCCAGGATATCCATGTCTTCTCGTTTCCCTTTGTGTGATGCGTAATCCAGTCGACCACAATTAGGAATATCATCGTGGGTGATAATAAGCACCCTTTCCTGACTCCTACGTTTACTCGAAACGCCTCGCTGAGTTTCCCCTTGTGGATGACTTGACATGTGCCGTTGTCGTACAGCTGTTGAATAAGGTTGATGAATATTTGGGGTACGCCGTAGTACTCGAGTAAATTCCAAATTACTTCGCGATCAACGCTGTCGAAGGTATTTTCAAAGTCTATAAAGTTGAGGTAGAGGTTTGACTGCCATTCCATGCTTTGTTCTGTGGTGATGATGCGTAGAGTTGCAATTTGGTCAGTACATGATTTGCCTGACTTTCCTGAATCCAGCTTGTTCTGGTCGGACTTCTGCATCCAGTGCGTCCTTTATTCTCTCCGGGATGATGCGACTCAGGATTTTACTTTGCGTCGACAGGAGCATGATTCCTCGCCAGTTCTTTCAGAGTGAGGCGTAAGTCGCCCTTCTTTGGTAGTTTCACGAGGTAACCTTTCCTCCAGTCAGTAGGCAGCTTTCCCTCCTTCCAGACCTTTGGCAATAATGGAGTCAGCATGTCTGCTGTAGTCTCTGGGCCCGCTTTCAGTGCTTCAGGGGGTATTCCATCCGGTTCAGCTGCTTTTCCAGCTTTCAGAAGCTTGATTGCTTTCAACGCTTCAGCTTTCGTTGGAGGATTGGTGTCAACTTGCAGTTGTGTGCGCGCTGTTCTTGGTATTTCTGGACGGGTTGCAGGTGGTGGTCGGTTCAAGAGTCCTTTGAAGTGATCCGCCCATTGTTTAATCTGTTTTTCTTCCTCGTTAATTGGGTTCTCTCGGCTGTCTTTTACAGCTTTCACTTGTGTTAATCTCTTCCCGGATAGAGATTTGGATCATTTCACTTCCCCGATTCCAGCGAAAAATAAAGTTATTGTTTATGTTTTTAGGATTTTTATTGTATTTATTCGTTGAAGTTTCTGTAGCGATTTGTTTGTTTTACGGGGGTGGAGTTGCTAGCACCACCCCATAACCCTCCCTCTTTACCCGTGCTTGGGAGCGGCTAGAAAACTAGGAAGGTAGTAGCCTAGTAAGCTAGTAATATGGCGAGGTTATATATATATATCGACTTCAAATTTAATTAGCTGCCTGTTCCTACGTTTTATTTTTCAATCATTCGGTCTGAATAGCCCATACTAATTATGTCTAATATTATTGCTACTATTATCTCTTTTCTTTTATCGACGACACCGGAGGACTAACTGGTGAAAAGACCAACTAAATTCGCAATGGCAGCGCGACCTCAACACACCGCGTACTACAAACAACATATAATTAATCCCAGCGCCACTCCTTTTGGGAGTCAACCAAAGCTACGACAGTCGAGTGGTGGGACAAACTATGCAGAACTTTACCGAAGTCCAGGAACCTTTACCTCACAATCAAGAAGTGAGCACAAAGAAATCAAATTGGTTTACACTAGCTAGTAAAAACGATATTGGAATATATAAGAAATAAATAACTTGGCTATTAAGTATTGGAATTCAACTATTTCAGTATATATACGAAATAAGCCGAAAGTATAGGGTAACTGGAACTCAGAAGTGCCGCTGTTGTAAGTTCGAATATAATGTCAACCTGGCCAATCGCGGGCAACTCAGCCAGTGTTCAAAGGTGCATGCTAGTTGCGCTAAAACGGCGTACGGTCGATGTGTAATGCAATAGAAACCACTATAATGCCACTAAACAAGTTTCTCTTTCTTCTTTTTCAGATAGAAACGTTGACGTGGCATCACTGGAACAAGAGGAAGACCGGCTATCTAGACTTGTTATAAACGATGATAATTAGCTTGTAACCCGGTTAATTCAAGTCTCTTCCTCGCCGTCATTGTCTTCTTCCTTGGTCAGTTGTGACTGAGGTCTGTGTGTGTTATAGATGCACCTGGCTACCAGGACTCCTATGTAAGTATTTTGATTAATGTATTAAGAATAGTAAAATCTTGTAGCAATTATTTGAGCTAATCAGTTTCATAATGCATTATAAATGTGTAATGCTTTTCTTACTGAAAATACAAGCTATATGATGCGGCTAGAATCACCAGAGATATGTTCACCCCCTTACATACACTTCTGGTGAGGTCAAGACTGGAGAACTCTATTTAGACCTCCAGTCCTTGTCTGAGCGGGGACTCACATTCTAGAAAGTGTTCAAAGGAAAGCAACACGTATGGTTCACGGCATGACTAACTTATCATACGAGGAAAGACTAGACAGTTTAAATCTCTTCTCTCTGTCATACCGTAGGCGGAGAGTGGATTTAATCACAATGTTTAAAGTTTCAAATAATGACTACGGACCTGACCTATTCTCTCTTTTCCTTCCCATCAGGTCGGAAAACCTTAGAGGACATAGCAGGAGAGTTCAAAAGCCAAGAGGAAATCATATTGCTGTTGAGTACTGGTTCTCACACCTAGTAATAAACTCTTGGGACCGACTCCCAGAAGAAGTAGTGTCTGCAACCTCAACTGATTCGTTCAAGAGGGGTTTGGACAACCACAGAAATTTACTGGAAAAGGATTAACATAGGTTTCAAGCGTTCTATCGTCAACCAATAAATCTGAAATCTGGCTAATGTTACGTGTGTGTATTTAGATATTTTCGTAAAGTTACTGAAAAGGTGGGGATTTTATTATCTGGAGCAGCGCGAGTTTTCCCGGTAACCATACATACTATGCTTGTAATTTATTTTTTAACGGGCCTTAAGTGTCTGCTTCATATGAGACAGGGTTTGGGATTTTCGGAGGCAAAACATTGCATTTCCTCCAAATTTTTATCTGGGATCAGTGTAACTTCACCTGTGTGTCCATGGTTTTCAACCCACTAAAGATTAGACATACATGGTGCAAAACCTGCTTATTGAATACGGGACGTGGTTGATTGATGGCTAGATATTAAGAGTTACTGACTGGCATGGTGTCTCTTAGGTCTGTGCCTTGCTCATATTGCTAGTTGTTTGTAGGTGTGGTAGATGACTTGGTGCATAGTGTTGTCTTCCTGTGATGACAACTGAGACTTCAGTTATGTTTGAAATTTATTTCACATCCTAGTATCACAATACCTCTGTTGCCTTTTCCTATCTTCTCTTGTGAATAGTGGTGAATTGAGTTGTAGCACATATGTGCAATGTTCTGCATGGTTTTTCCAGTCAAGTTATCATTTTGGAAAACATTTGTGACTTCAAATTCCACCTCACTGAAGTGTAAGTTAGACTCAAGATATGGGGTTGCTGAAAAGTTCCAGTTTCATAAGCAATCTTGTACGAAGCACTTTTTCAAGAACGTTCTAAATTCTATAAAGATGGTCATGAGTTTTTTGTTATCCGCGGACTTCACTTATCAATTCCTTGGTGTTAAGTGTGTCAGATGTTAAAGATAACTCTTACCGAAAAGCTCTGTTATGCGTTGGATAAAAAGTTGTTTCTAAATTAGCCGTGATTACTTTCCTGATTATCCCTTCCACTGTCTTAATTAAAATGCTTCTGAGAGTATAGTAGGTCTGTATTTTAAGGGACAGTGTCTAAATCTTTTCTTGTAAGTATGGGTGACTATTGCATTCCCCCAGTCAATCGGTAATGCCCCTTCTGTAAGGAATAGCCTGAAGGAACTGGTCAATGGAGCAGCTATGTGGGCTTTCCATTACTTAGTTGGGGATTATGATACGACATCTTAGTCGACGTTGACAGGACGTATACCGTTTTCTTTTGGTGCAACCGGAGCTGATGCTACATGATGTGGTGGTAAGGCTTATGTTAAGAAACTTAACTAGACGTCTTGTTCGTGTGAGCGTCAGGTAAGAAAATAATTTTTTTTGGTGTGTGTGTGTGTGTTGCATTGCACTCTGAACCGGACATATATATTATATATATAATATATATATATATATATATATCGAATTTCATCCATCTATGATAATAACAAACTCATACAGTGTCCAGCTATACGGCTTCTCTGAGAGTGATAAACACGTTGCAGCCCTTGTGTTATCTCATGTTAGATAAATATATGTGTAAAACTTGGGGACTGTGGTATTAAGTAATTCCATATTAGATAAAGTTAAAAAAATGGTTAGGTAGGGTTCAAATCAAGCCATAAAGTCTCTGACTGTTAGTTTGAGTGGGATAGTTAAACAATAGCGTCCCAAGTGATCCGAACGCATAAGGGACCTTCAGCCGACCAATCATAAAAATAAGGAATTTTCGCACAAAAACTGACGTATATTTACAAGAAAATGCATGAAAACACATTAAACAGGGTGTCTTTCTCTGACATGATTTGAAAATACGTCCCAGTTATAACGAGGAGTATCAGTTGCGAAGATAGACTAGTTTCTGTACATGCATTCACAGAGGTGACTAGTGATGAGCTGTTTTTGTGAATCGTTTATCTCTCTTATCCCGTTGTGCAGTCTTCCCCAAAAGACCTCGGTTGAATTACTGTGGTTTCCAGTAAGAGGACTAACGACTACTTACCTGGAAAATGTGGATAAAACAAATTAAAATAAATGGCATCATCATAAAATCTGTCTCTAAAAGTAATCCTGACCTTAATCCTCACCCTAACTCTAAACTTAACGCTAACCCTAACCGTAAACCTAACTCTAATGCTAATAATGACCCTGATCCTAACCCTAACCCCAATACTCGCCTTAACCCTAACGAGCTATTAACACATTGTGCAAACAGTACTTAAGAAATGTGATCTAGGTCAAATTTGCTCCTTAGTTGGTGAATAGCGTTGATATTCCAGCTATGATAATGAAAGGTGCCGTTAGTCAACGACAAGCATGCGTTTGAGGTCATTGGAGCGTTCGCACTCCTGGGACGCTATTGTTGAACTTCGCCGTTTGAGTCACTTAACTAGATGTATATCGCTTGGCTAGGTTCCTCAAGCCACTAAGAATCAATAGCTATGGACCGTTCATGGCGTGACTCAAATCATTCTCAACGACACAGATACATTTATTATTATTATTATTATTATTATTATATAAGCTTTATTCCAAATCAGTACTTGTGATACAGAATGGAATTCTCAGCATTTTACTACAATATTGCATCCAGTTTTTTGTTTACATTAACAATAAATAAAGTTCTACATAGTTTAAAGATTATCTCAACAACATATTACCCCTTATGTGAACTCCCAGATCTATCAGACTTGTGTGTTGCATTGCATTCTGAACCGGACATATATATGTATATATATATATATATACATATATATATATATATATATCGAATTTCATCCATCTATGATAATAACAAACTCATACAGTGTCCAGCTGTACGGCTTCTCTGAGAGTGATAAACACGTTGCAGCCCTTGTGTTATCTCATGTTAGATAAATATATGTGTAAAACTTGGGGACTGTGGTATTAAGTAATTCCATATTAGATAAAGTTAAAAAAATGGTTAGGTAGGGTTCAAATCAAGCCATAAAGTCTCTGACTGTTAGTTTGAGTGGGATAGTTAAACAATAGCGTCCCAAGTGATCCGAACGCATAAGGGACCTTCAGCCGACCAATCATAAAAATAAGGAATTTTCGCAGAAAAACTGACGTATATTTACAAGAAAATGCATGAAAACACATTAAACAGGGTGTCTTTCTCTGACATGATTTGAAAATACGTCCCAGTTATAACGAGGAGTATCAGTTGCGAAGATAGACTAGTTTCTGTACATGCATTCACAGAGGTGACTAGTGATGAGCTGTTTTTGTGAATCGTTTATCTCTTTTATCCCGTTGTGCAGTCTTCCCCAAAAGACCTCGGTTGAATTACTGTGGTTTCCAGTAAGAGGACTAACGACTACTTACCTGGAAAATGTGGATAAAACAAATTAAAATAAATGGCATCATGATAAAATCTGTCTCTAAAAGTAATCCTGACCTTAATCCTCACCCTAACCCTAAACTTAACGCTAACCCTAACCGTAAACCTAACTCTAATGCTAATAATGACCCTGATCCTAACCCTAACCCCAATACTCGCCTTAACCCTAACGAGCTATTAACACATTGTGCAAACAGTACTTAAGAAATGTGATCTAGGTCAAATTTGCTCCTTAGTTGGTGAATAGCGTTGATATTCCAGCTATGATAATGAAAGGTGCCGTTAGTCAACGACAAGCATGCGTTTGAGGTCATTGGAGCGTTCGCACTCCTGGGACGCTATTGTTGAACTTCGCCGTTTGAGTCACTTAACTAGATGTATATCGCTTGGCTAGGTTCCTCAAGCTACTAAGAATCAATAGCTATGGACCGTTCATGGCGTGACTCAAATCATTCTCAACGACACAGATACATTTACCCCTTATGTGAACTCCCAGATCTATCAGACTTTCATTGTTCTCCTTGTACTTATTCTTTAATGAAGTACAACAACTTAAACTGATAGATTTCGTTGAAAACTCAGCTGTTTTATTAACGCTGAAGAAGATACCATGAATCTATCTGTTTATCCATAAAGATAGTCCAAGGAACCTAAATAATCTGTTCTGTCATCATTTAATGAATAGCATCAAGCGTCCATTTAATTTTTGTCCGTAAATGTTTATTTTCTGGTATATAATATCAGAGTATTTTATTATTATTCCTTTGGGTTCCGGGTGAAACATAGGACCTCAACAACACATCTCCACTTTGTTCTATTTTCTACCATCCTCTTCAGCTGGGTCCATGACTCTCCATGATCTCTCATCTCTTCCTCACACGACCTGCTCCATGTCACCCTTGCACTGACGTCCCACTCGTTGCTTCTCACTTGGATTCCACCTGACCAATGGCCTGGCGCGCGATTTCATTCGACGATACCCTTAATGTATGCTCGATCCGTCTCCATTTTTCTCCTACATATTTGTTGAGCGATCGGTTCTTCGTTGGTTTGTTCCTACAGTGTCTTTTTACTAATTCTTGCTGACCATTTAATCCTCACTATGAAGTGAAGACAGCTGTTGATGAAAGTCTGCAACCTGTTGGAAATCCTTTACGTGACACACTGGCCAAGTTTCTGACCCGTATAGACGGACCGACTCGACATTGGTGTTGAAGATGCGAATCTTGTTCCTTATGCTGAGTGGAGCAGAAGATTCCCAAACTGGTTTCAGGTTGATGTACGCGTATCTTGCCTTTCCGAATCTGACTGACTGGCTAGCTGGCTTTGACATCTTTATCCGTTCCGCCTGTAGTTGAAACAATGCTGGCTGCCTAGATAAGTAAAGGAGGTAACTTCTGTTAAGGCTCTCCCGTTGGTAGTGATTGGTGCGGTCCATTGGTTGTCTTCATCACCTCCATCCTCTCTATGTTCACTTCGAGTTCTGTTTTTGTTGCCGGCCTACCCCTTCAGCCAATTTGTTAGTATTTTAAGATGTTTGTTTTTTTATCAACAAGAATCGAAGATACTTTTGCACACTTATACCGTTTGCACTTAATCAGAATTTGGTAGAACTATTGATTTAACGTATTCATTATCAGTAATTTGAGTATTGTTTTTTTATTTTCTATCCTTTATTACTTCCTTTAGGGATTCATTTACATCAAAGGAGGCGGTATTATCCAATTTATCAACTTCTTCTCAAATAACCGATGAGAATTCTAACAGTGAATCAATGAATGGTACTCATCTAACATGGAATAATAGTCAAATTCGTCAAGCATTAAGCGAATTAAGTAATACAATGGCAACAACAACAATGACAGAAACAACGGGAAAAACAGAACAGTCTAAATCACAAATAAGATGGGCAGAAATACTGCATGAATTCGATCAACCAGAATCAGACTCACTCACCAATATTGATAATTCAAGTCGATCATTGGTAGATCAAAGTTTACTGATAAGCAGTGATACATCTAGTCGTCATTCTAGTACCGTTGATCCAGAGAAACTAGGAGAAACTGGACATAAAACTGCGGATTCACCACATATACCAATTGAAGCATTAAGTAAACATCTTGATAGTCGCTTATCATCTATGATGTCTGAATTAAATTGGTCTCATAATGAATTACTGTACAAATTTGCTCAACTTGAATGTAAACTTGATCAAATGAATAAACTGTTAGTACAAATGAAGGAGGAACATGATCTGCTGCGATTGACATTGATGACTAGACATAGGCGTTTTTAAAGATATTTTTTTCATAACCGTTTTGTTTATTTTTCCACCCCCGTCTTTCTTTCTCTCTCTCTCTCTTTCTGCTGTCACCATTTTTGTTATTCAAAGTTATTATGTACACCCTTCTGATTTTGCATTTTATCTTACACATACACGCATTTGGGCATTTTGTCTAGTGTAAGAAAAAATTTTTTGAATACAATGTTAGCGTTTAGGGATTCTCACAATATTCATGAGTCATTTGTTTTTTGTTTGTTTTTTTGTTGCTTCCAATGTAGACCGTAGTAGGCGAGAGATCATGTGTGTAGTGCGCGTGTAGTATTTTGCAGGATAACAAACTGTGAACATGAATAATCCCACGCCCCCTCCCCATCTAGACGTTAGTGAAAACAAAACACGTGGTTCAGCGAAGAGTATCGTTTCGGCGGTGAATTCATTCATCACTTAGCTGTGCAAGTATTGGTTTTGTGGGGATTTTATTTGATTGGATGAAGGATTTCATCACGGGCTTGATATCAGTCAGAAAACTGGAGAGCTGTTCCGTCCTAGTTTGGGACTCTCCAGCAGTACGCACCCACCGCCACCGGGGTTCGAACCTAGGACCTTCTGGTTACAAGATGAGCTAGCTCATAGACCATTGAGCCACTGGGACCCGATTTAATGGCCAGCCCATGAATTCTAACTTCTGCCGATTCATGACATAGGGCGACGATTCCGCGATGTCTTCTTCGATGAGTTACTGCCTCATCTTCAACCTGCTCTACCCTACTGGTCATATATATGTATATAACTAGGTGAGAAGGGGGTGGTGGAGAGGGGTGAAAATGTGTTGTCTAAAAAACATGCATTAACATATCAAGGAAGTTGAATAAGCTTGATACAGTTACATAATAAGGTGGACTAGAGGAAATTCAATTAGAAAAAGACGAAAACAAGTGATTAGTTTTGACATAACCAGTCTACATACTGATATTCCCGCATTGAGTACGACTCTGGAGGCAATTAGTATTGAAATGAACATTGATCCTGAACTCAGAAGAAGGACTAAGCTCTGCTGTCGGTTGATGAAATCACATTAGGTGTCCAGTTATGTTGTCTAACCTCGACTTTATTCAAATTCCAAAATAAACTAATCTGGCCGACAACTGCTACCACCTTGTCGTGGTGGTCGGGCTTGAATACCGCAATGTCCCAACAAGCTAAACTGGCTGGAGCTCATGTCTCTGCGGGTCCTACCATGTCAGGAAGGTTGTTTGGATAGCGGTTAAACTAAAAGCAGTTATCATGGGGTATATGGACTCCAGAATCCAGTCGGATCAAATGGCGTATGAACCCATATGGGGTCACCGGCAACCATGGGAATGCAGCTCCTGACACTGCTCCGCTGCCTTGCGGATTAGACTCCAAGTCAAAGGCTCCGGGGGGTGGTCCCTTAATAAAACCACCTGCTTCGGTCTGGGCGCCCGGGCAGTGTCTCAGCCTTCACACAAAAAATGAAATAAAACTGTGTGACGCATCTTTCTTGGTTCCATATTTGTACCGAGTTTTTTCTGCGTTTAAATAAAAAATAAACTTTATAAACAAGGAAATGGGATCCCCAATAGGTGCAGATATACTTATGAATAGTTGGGAACGTAAGGCTCTTAGAACCTGCTGCTCCTAGGTTATGGTAGATGGCACATTCCATCACTGTGTTGAAATCTGAACATATCCCTCAGGTTTTTACACATATAAAGTTAGAAAACGAACAAGGTGAGTTGGTTATGCTAGACTAGAATAAAACGAAAAAGAGATGGTGGGTGGTTAGATACTAGCTAGCATTTATAGAAAGGAAGCCGACACACTCTAATGCAAAATACTTAGACTTTAATTCATCCCATCCAGAATCGGTGGTAAAGTAGTAGACTTCCTGACTGGTTGGGGTCCTCGTGACGGTAAACACCAATGGTTGGAAACAATTGGTGATATGGCTCTAAGTGATCGTTCTCAAGGGCTGGCGCAGATGCATCCACTCCTTGTGACTTATGATTTCAAATGAAACTGTTTTGTTCTTCGTTATTACTCTTCCTTTGTCTCACACCTCTGTTTACTGTCTCTATTATGCTTTTCTTGTACTTTCTTCTCTTGCTTTGTGTGCTACAAGGAGGGGGTGTGGCGACTTGAACTGCCGCACATATGTGCAAAGTTCTATGTCGGAAACGGACAAAGACAGATACTGATGCCTATTATCACGCTTACACAAATGCTATTGAACTGTAATCTATTCGTATTATTGATTGACTCGATGTTATTTAAACAACACTAATGTTCTTAACAACCCTAATTCTTTAATTATTATGGAAGCATATATAACTGTAGAACCTGGTGAAGAGCAGGTTATCAAAAAGAATATTCTTTGTTCTGTAATTAGTTTTTTTGAAAAACAGTGTGGAACGCCACTAACATCCACACCATCTACACTGAATTTTAGACAGCCACTTAATATTACAATCCCGACCAACCAGCGCATTAAGTTTGTATTTATCGTTTCTGGCTTTTAAAGATCGATTTGTGATGGAAACATTACCCTCTGGGTTTATTACGAAAAAAGTGTACATGTCTTCTTTGTTTTATATAACTGTGGGATAAAAGTTAGCCATCCAGGAAACCGTTCGCATCTAAATATGAACGACAGATTGGAACGCCTGAAAAATGTTTCAGGTTGACACACATCTTGAGTCAGTAAGTCACAGTGAAAACAGGCATGAAAAGGATGGGAATAAAAGTAACGATATGAACATAGTGTGTGTGTGTGTCAGTGGCGCAGAGGTGGAATGTTCGCCAATCACGCCACACATTGTCCGGGTTTCGATCCCCGGCCACTGGATGCACTCCCAAACCTTACTTAGCTTGTAATAAGCCCGTTAAAGAGGGAAGGTTGGGCACGAATGAGGCTAGTAACCCCACTCCGCAAAAATAAACACCACTGCTACCACCGAGACTTCGAAGGTCTGGCTTGAAGCGCTATGTTCCAGTGGGAACCCAGTAGCCATGGAAAACTGATCAAAAGGACCTTGATGAGGTTGTTATAATTTACGGCATAAATATGCGTTTGTCTCACCATTTCGGGGTCACACAGACCTTCCGTTTCAGTTATTGCAAAAGGCTTGGTTAGGATTTCGAAGGAACTGAGTCGTTGTTTGGACTTGATTTGGCAATATAGTCGGTAGGTGGGTGAGTAGGTAGGGGGACATGTAGCTCATGATGCGTGTACGTGAAGATCTATAACCTTACGGTGTGACTTTTCATATTCACTAACTAATTACAATACACACATAGCGCCTCTTCACAGTCCATGGTAGTCAGTAAAACACTAGACGTATTACATAACCTTCACTTAACATCTCCGTATATAAAAAAACGGCACATGTCAAGTGATCCACAACGGAAAACTCAGCGAGGCGTTTGGAGTAAACACAGGATTCAGACAAGAGTGCTTATTATCACCCACGATGATATTCCTAATTGTGGTCGACTGGATTATGCATCACACAGTGGGAAACGAGAAGACATGGATATCCTGGACGGACGTGAATAACCTAGAAGACCTGGATTTCGCGCGTGGATGATTTATGTTTGATGTCACACAAAATCGAAGACTTACAAGCGAAAACCGACAAACTGGTCGAAGAAGCAACCGGCGAAGACAGGACTCCAAGTGAATATAGACAAGACGGAGGTTAAGAAAATAACCAACCAACAACAACAGCAGCGACATCCAGCGCCAATCACCATCAACGGGAGGGATTTGAAAGAGTTCACTTCATTGACCTACTTATCTAGGGGGCATTGTCTCAACTACAGGAGAAATGGACGAGGATGTCAAATCGAGAATCGAATCGGGAAGGCGAGAAACACATTCATCAACCTGAAATCAATCTGGACATCTTCATCACTCAGCATCAACAACAAAATTCGGTCGGATTTTCAATACAAACGTCAAGTCAGTCAGCTCTTCTATACGGATCAGAAACTTGGAGAGCGGGTGACAAAGAATATTTCCAACAGCCTGTTGCAGACCTTCATCAACCAACAACTGTCTTCGCTGGTTCCATACTGAAGATCAGATGGCCGGACCGGAAAGAATCACCAACAAGAAACTATGGGAAAAAACAAAACAAGAACCAATCGCCAACCAAGAAATATGCAGGAGAAAGTGGAGATGGATCGGACACTCTCTGAGGAGACCGCTGGGTGACATCGCGCGTCAAGCCCTCGAGTGGAACCGAGAGGGAAGCGGCGTGTGGGACGTCAGTGCAAGGGTGATATGGAGGAGATCGTGTGAAGAGGAGTTGAAACAGTATGGACTAACATGGATGCAGGTGAAAAGCACAGCAGAAGACAGAAGCAAGTGGAGACGTTCAGTTGAAGCCCTATGTTCCACTAGGAATCCAAGGGAACAATAATAATAATAATATAAAAAATATGTATATTTAAGTAATCTCAAGGTTGAACAGTGTTCTGTATACAAAACAGTATATATATATATATATAATAATAGTAATTATACAAGACCAAAGGTGATTTGTTTGTTTTTTAAGAGTGACATGTATTGTCATCTGAAGTTTGGCATACACTTTGTTTTATTATCTTAAATTGTGATTCTGGTAAACACACCGACCTTTTTATACTCTGCCAAATCCATGATACAGATATCTGGAAACAATTCTAAAATTTGGTGGCGGGAATAGGGGAAGAAAAAACAAATAAGCAAACATGATAAATACATCTGTAGAGATGGAGTGAAATATATGTAACAAAAGCATTGTCTTGAAAAATACGTATAGAATTTAATAATTCGCATTGTTTAAAAAAATTAAAACAATTAGTTGCTGATATAAATTTTTGTTTTGTTTTGATTACGGCTTGATTCCACAGCGTATTTTTTTGGTAGAAGTATGGAATTTTTAGCATGTGATATCGGTAGCCCAAATTTCGCCGGCCGACCATAGATATCAGGTGTGCGTCGGTGGGGCATCGAACCCCGGACCATGTGCATGGTCGGCGAGAGTCCTAACCACTGTGCCACCGACGCGTTGTAAGAATACGGAGATTATCTGAAAAAGGTATGTGATGTATTTGCGCTAGACATTTCGAAGAATCTGATACCTCACACATTTCCTCGTCAAGTCGATATATATATATATATATATATATATATATATATATATATATATATGGAAAAGTTAAATTAAACAAAGTTACAAAATAGAA